CGATTAGTTTATCTTTCAGTTGATGTACACAATTTTTCTGATTTTTTACATTTATATGTAAAAAATACTAAAAAACAAAAATATTTAATTTTTTCGTTAAATTACCCTTTTTGAAGAAAATTGCATAATTAATGCTACAGAAATTTATGTTATTTAGAAAGTACAAGTTATTACCTTATATATAAAGGGTTTCTATAAGGCAAAATTTAACTTAAGCAGTTGTAAAAATCGAAACTGTGTATATATATTTTTTTAAATAGCGTTTACCAAAAATTTGTCAAGAAAATACGTTGTAAAAATTTATTAAATTATCTTTGAATTGGCATCAATACTTTTCTAATCGGTCAAGTAGTTTCCGAGAAATTAAACATATAAAGAATAGGAAAGTTGAAGTTTAACCTGTTACATTTTCTTTGTTTTTTACTTGCCCCAAATAATAAATCTGCGTGAAAAGTTCTATCGATCAGCATTTATGGTTAAACGGCCCGTATTGTATCTAGAATAAGCTGTTCGCATGGCAAACGAAATTAAAATCTCCAACATGTTGGCAAATACATTTTGGTTGTCAAATGCTGCCACATCAGCGGCGAGGACCGTTTTCATTTGGCTGTCATTGTATATGACCGTGCGTAGTGATATATGACAACCAACGCAAATGACACCAGATGACAACCCGTTTTCATTATTTTGACAACATTTGACGTCAAATATGACCTAATGAAAACCAGGCTTAAGTTTCCATAACTGGAGACCGCTTATTGCTCTTGGTAAGCAATAAATATCAGAGCTTTTATCTTGGCAGCAATTTGGTACTTTGACAACTACATTTTCATTTGCGCGATCGCTTCGTGGCGGCAACATTATTACTATTTTATTATAAAAGCAACAATTGAGCTGTTTTCTTTTAAAATATTTGTTATTATTCGCTTGGGTGGAAATTGCCTTTTTTTAATTTTTTTGAATGATGAAATCCGGCAAAAATAGCCATTTCACAAAGGTTTTTATCAAGGTAAAAAATGCCCACGCACAAACAGTTCCTTTGATAAAATTTATATCAGGCAATGCAAATAACAGTTGGTAGGTAAAAACGTTTGCCTGTGAGTGCAAATTTTGAAAGTTAGAGCCAATTTATACGATGCCTTTTCACCCTGCGTTTTTTGTACGTTCCCTTTTGAAAAAGTCTTCGAAAATCCTCGTGCATTTACATGGTGACTTTTTCTTTGCGACGTTTTTTGCGTGTTTTTGACATTTAAGCGTAAAATTTTCTGTGGTCAACTCTTTCGTCCTCATTTTCACAGCGGAGCGGATCACGAACTCAAAAGGGCTATTCGCGATCCGGTGCATAAGAGCTGGCGAATTTACGCAACTGCAGAAATATGCCATGGATTGTGAGCGACCTTTATTAAACTGCCGTGGCAAAACTTTTTTAATCAGCTGATAGAAATGCCAACCAGAGTTTCAATGCATAGCATTTTTATGCTATGGATTTTCGTATCCATACAAAATTCGTCACCTAAATGCAACTAAATGCAACTCCATGTTTGCATTAAAAATCTAAATGCTAAAAGCAATCCTGTGATCTAAAATTTCCAGGATTCGAACATGGTTTAATGAGAAAAAGTGGCAACATTGCTCTTTCGAGTATACAGTGGCTAGCTGCGATTCAGTGATCGCCGATCGAGATTTCATTTATTGTTTTACATTATTTGGATAAAGAAAAGTTAAGCAAGTTGAACATCGATGTGATGCTGATAGAAATCTGGATCAATTTGTGATCAACTCTGTTTGTTTTGTTTCCTAATTAAGTGAGGAAATTTTAATTGACAGCACCGACAAATGAATATATACCAAACAAATGTTCGGTCATGGTTAAAACAATTCAAGTTTTTGTATTGAATTTTTGGTTAAAAATTTATTTTTTCCTTTTCAGTAGGGGTTTTGCACATTATCTTCTGCGTGGGAATTGATCGTAATAGATACGGATCCGAATAAGCGACTGGAACACGGCTGTTTGTCAAAAGCATACGATTTCGAACTCGCGTAAATGTACATTTGCTAAATGCGATTGCATGAACGCTCTTTGAAAACTTATGTTCGACAGTGCTTAATGTTGCATTTTAAATGCAGCAAAAACACTGCATAAAGTTATTTTTACAAATACCTTTCTGTGTATTGGTGTATATTTTAGTGTGTTAGTGAAGAGGTCAGAAAAAGTCCTTTTCTTGTAGGGCGCTGATTTCCCTACAGTTCTTGCCTACAAGCTCAACACGCATGACCTTACATCCAGGGTGAATTGGCTCTTATACTAGGTTCACATATAAGTAGATTATCCTCATTTTCTAGCTTAACACCCTAATCTGCAAGAGACAAGACACTACTCATATAAAATTCGTCCCTTGTTAATCTGTAATTATAAAATAATCTCAAATTTAACCGATAACTTTTCGGTGTCCATCCTAGTTTTATCGATTGTTTTTGCGAAAGAGAGGAGAAATGCCAAATGTAAAAGTAAACAAAAATGTACGCTAGCAAGTAAAAGAGGTTTGTAAAGGTATTTTTAATAAAATGTTAAGTTAAAATATATTTATATTGCTTATTATAGCAGAAAAACGTGATGACGGTGGCACAGAGAAGAAACATAACTTTTCTTTGAGATGTGAGAATAACAAGCACAACAAATTTGACGGCTAATAATCTGAGATTTGCCAGTGTGAACGGGGTGATTAAAAAACAAGCTTTGATTGAGATAATATTGATATGTGAACATAGTTTTATATACAGAGACCATCCACCATTCGATAGTGAAATAATTAGAAATATTCGATAGTACAATGGCTAGTTTTACAGCTATTTTAAAACGGTTTATGTGGCAACACTATGAATCGGTACATTTTTTGACGTTTGCTTTGCTTTTGCGTATCAAAAGCAAATACAAGTTGACGGCATTTTTTCGCATTCTTCTTTCTCCGTCTAACCGGCATGGTTTTTGCAGTTTTTGCCTGTACACTTTCTTTTTGCTCGCTCGTTCGCTCGATTTACACAACCGCCGTTCGGGTTTTCTGTGCAAATTTTCGACGTGAATTTCTTAACTGAATAATCAAAACTTATCTAAATAATCACAATGTCGGACGAATCGTTTTATGGTAAATATCAAGTATACAATATTGTTGAACAGCAAGGAGCGTATATTTTATCAATTTGCGCAAAAACTTGCACAAATTCACGAGTATAAAAATGGCGCCGTCTGCTATTGGGCTGTCGGTGTCGCGAGAGTTTAAATTTTCAAGGCTATTGCATCAATGCAGTTGTACACTTCACGAATTAAAATTATGGTTACTAAATTGTGATTTCTGTCCTCAGGTGTCACACTCACTGGCCAGGACAGCACGGTGTCATGGGATGTGCTCTCGAACGATGAAGACTTCCCCCGCGGACAGAGGCTCATTATTAAACAGATCCTTTTGGGCGCTGAAGCGAAAGAGGAGGAATTCAATGTTGTGGAGGTAAGTGAACTACTCATCAGACTTTTTTTTTAATACAATATCACTTTTTGCATATTGTAGTCCCATTTGTATGTATACCGGCGTTACCTTACAAGCATGTGCGATTCGCGCTCATTGTGCAAATATAACAAAATCTTCCGTTCACGTTTAAATACAAATCGCACACGATCTTCAAAAGTGACACAATTCAAAATTTGGCATTTTTGAAAATTTTCACCATAAGTGGGAGCATGATACAAAATTATGACAAAAATGTGCTCATGAGTGGGAGCACATTTTTGATATAATTTTGTTATACATGTTTATTACACTATCGAAAAACCAAGGTAAAGTCTCCATTGCACATATGATTAACATGTGCTAAGAAATAGTTTTTCGCAATTTCTCACAGACCTGTAATATCGAGTTGTGTCACCTTCGAAGATCGTGTGCGAAATGTGAATATGAAAAAATTATAGCATATATCTAATTTGTTAACCGTGGTTTGATATTTGGGACATTGTATAATTCCATCATGGTTTGGGAAATGTGTTTTTTTTGGCATTTGTGCACACTTGTGCAAACACAAAAATCGTTAAATGATTCTATATTTAAAAGCTTTGCTTATTATCACTTAAAAAAACAAATATGTATAATATCTGCGGTCATAAGCAATAACCGCTTAAGTCGAAAACCGGAATTCTAGAAAAAACGTTTTAAACATTCGGATTGTAAGCTAAGCCTTATTAGGAAATCAAAATATTTTCGTCTATAACTTTTTAAATAGCGTAGATGGCGAGATGGGAATTTCGTATACATACGTATGAAATAGTAGTTGCCGCCCAGATCGGCTTGTATCTCAGATGTCCTCAAGCTCAACTAACGGAATATCGAAGCGCCTATAGGGTCTGTCCACAGGGACAGAGGCACATCTGCATCTAATCTGCTCGGGTATGAGTTCAACCTGATGCAGTAGCCAGAGGGAAGTTGGGCTTGTGGTCCTCTACTCGCCAGGCAGACGAAGCAACTGTCTCGTGTACGTCAGGTGGTTATGTGCCCAGAACGGCATTCACTGCTCAAAACAATTCTAAAAAATCTGATTAAAAAGTTGAAAATTTTGATAAAAATTTGATGAATTTTCGTGAGTTTTGCACAAAGTTTAGGAATTATATTTTTATGTTTTTTGTTGTTGAATGAACCATATTGTTATACAAAATTGGCGGAAAAATATTAGAATAAAAATTGTTGCATATATTGTGAAAAATTTGCTGTGTCAATACTTTGTTCCGGCAGTGTATGTTACCGCATAGCTTTAAACCACGTTAACCGATTGCTACAATTCTTGTTTTAAAGGAAAAGTGCTACCGCAGAGGTGGTCCCATTGTAATTTGGTTTAAATCCGATCATTAGAGCATGAAGAGATTAACGATAATCTTAAATTTTTATATGAGAAGTGAAGTCTGTTTTGTTTTTTTGCTTAAAAATTACTTGTATTTTTCTAGGTTTGCTCGATTTGTCTCTAAACATTACTGACGAGTGTCGACCACTCAGATAATTCGCCGATCACTGTTTGAGTCTCTGTGGGAGAGAGGAGGCATTTATGTCTTCTAGCAACGTGGAGTGGCTGACGGTATCAAACGCCTTTGACAGATCCAACACAACTAGAATAGCTCTCTGACGGGCGGTTGCGGTTTAGGCAACGTGTTATCTGAGTGTTTATGGCTTTAAGTGCTGTTGTTGACCTGTGCACTTTACGGATACCATGTTGATGCTTCGCTGGGGTCTGTTGGTTCGCAAAATACGGGATTAGCAAGGCCTCTAATGTCTTCGCTACCGGGGAAATGAATCAAAATGGCGCAATAATGCGCTAATTGTATCCTAGGCAGCGACCAGGAAGCACTGCAACCAACCGGGGAAAGGAATGTTACCGGCCGATAAGACTCTCCTTTGTTGGCTGGTGTCCCTGGTTTGAGCCGCGGGACCACTATCCCCATATTCCAGATGTCTGGAATGACGAGAGTAGCCATAGACAGGTTGAGAACCTTGGCTAAATAGTCTACTCCCGCAGGAACCAAATTTTTCAGCATCAACATGAGTATTAAGTCGGGTCCTATGGCTTTGAAGGCTTTCGCCTTCCCGATAGCTACCTGAATTTCACCGCAAGTGAAACCAAGAGCCTTCTGTTCACTCGACGTTTGGCTTTGGCCACCGGAGGATGCAGTGTGAATTGTCGGCTAAAATAGCTCGCGCATCGCTCCGTGTCCGACGAAGCACAGTCTTCAGATGCTCTTCCCTTATGTACGCTATTCCGCTTATGTACGGTCATAAGCTGCCGAATCTCCGTTTTGAAGTCCCTGATACGGGGGTTTATAGGATCAGCATGACGAAGGTTGTCGCTGCTCATAATCCTAGTGGGTGCGTCGTCATTCATTGTACAGAATGTCGAATCGTCTATCTGCAAAGGCAAGAGTGTACCCCTAGGATCATTTGACAGGCTTGAATGCCAAATACCGTGGTGCGCAGTAAAGTCACCAACTACCACACGGTTTTCACCTCTGAGGAGCGCACATATTTCAGGGTGATATCCCGCCGCGCAGCTGGTGAAAGAGGATATATAAACGTTAAGTATTTTGAGCTCGACATCGCCTGACCGGATAGCACTGCCCTGACATTCTAGGATGGTATCCCTGTGAGCCCTGAAGCGGCACCAGCCAAGGCAGGTATAGCACTTGACTGATGTCATATAACGGAATATCCTGGTCAGACATACCGTACAGATCGTTGGAGGAACCAGGATTTGTTGGCGGTGGCGTGTGGGTGGTGGTGCGGTTGTGTCTGTGGTATGGTCTGTCGTGGTTGTGGTATGGTCTATTGTGTTGTGCTGTGGTGTTTGTGTTGAGCTGCTCAGGTGGTCTGGGGTTTGCCGTGGAGGCTGCTCTGTTTGAGCAGCATTGGGCCACAAAGGATTGGGTTTACTGCCGATGAGACCGTAGGCCTGAGCAGACTAACATAGCAGGTGCAAGTTTCTGGCCGAGAGTTCGACTCTATGCCAGCCCTGAGTAGAATAATACGTAGCAGATGTAGCCCTATGGACGAACAACTTCTGAGATATTTCACCGACCTAAACGGGGTTACATCGCCAAAACCACAGCCCTTGGTCGGGTAAAACCCGAGTCATTCCGGTACGTAGAACCAGCTGTCGTGGGAATGGTCCTTTCTCAACTTAGTCAACTTAGGCGGAAATTTCTTATGAACGTAGACATACAGCAAACATTTAGGTTAGAGAACGATTAGAACCCCGTTTTCAAATCGATATTATCTGCTATTTATTTTTCAATTAAAATACAGTTCGTTCCATGGTAAAAACATTACAAGGCAAATTCGTTCTCTCAATTCGTCGGCCATGATTTTTTTTCTGACCTTGCAAGCATTTTAAAATCTTATAATTCCTAAAACTTTGTAAAATATACTACTTAATTTAACGTAAGTTTCAAGAACATATGAAAAGAAATTCCAAAGAATCGGCGCAAAAGGGCAATTTGGTTCCGATATACTAGCCTAGCGATGGGCAAAATGCCCAACATTGCAAACCGCGGGCAAATGTGCAAACCGTTGGGTGGATGAGGTGAGGTAATTGTGCCCGGGGGGGGAAACAGAAAATTTTGCGCGAATTGCATCTGTATGTGTGATCGGAATGAGAGAACAAGTATATGTGAGTACTCACGAATGTGAGACCCCATGGCTGCCACCTTTCCTAAAAGCACCAAAACTTGGGACAAATCAAAACATCAAAAATTTTTTTTTCAGTAAAATTTAATATGCATCTATACTACATTAGTGATCGGTCCAAGATATAAGTATTGTTGTATTTATCAAAAACCAAAATAAATAGTAATGCACTAATAACGATTTTAAACTTTTATACAACCAATTGAATTTTCGCTTTAATTCAATCAAGATATATATTTTATTTGAAACAATGCATTTATTTATACACATATGTATGTACATACTTATGTGTATAAAAAGATTTTCGTATCCAGAACAAAATGCACTAAATAAGCACTGAACATGGCGGGAAAGGTATTCTAATAGTATTATATAGTTGTCGAATATTTTTAGGTATCTTCGGCTCAGCTAACATGAAAAAAGCTGCATGTATGCATATCTATATATTTTTGATGATTTGAAGATTTTAATTTTTAACGATGCAAAGTGAAGTGTATGTATATACCTACATATATACTGCTGCAAATAATTATAAACTCAAAGTGATTTTAAATGCAGGTATGGACATAAAAGTGCAAATAAGTTTTGCATTGACTACATTTTACAAACTCCAACGAGCTCAACAGTCACGAAAACGAAGACGACATTCTTATGACCAATTTTCATACTTTAAATCCACACTGGTTATAAAACCATATAACGAAGTTCCAATTTTATTTTTGTTAAAAACCTAATGGTTTTTTGTATAAAATACACTTTTTTCATAAGAGTTTACAGAATTTAAATAATTTAGCAGGATTCTAGCACGTTATTGTTTGCCAGTATGAATTAGCACATACTATTTTTTACATATGTATAATCATATGAACTTTATTGATTTCTTAATTAAAAAAAAATTAAATTGGTCGGCATTTCATGATGTTGAATTGTTTTTAATAAATATTTATTTATTTGCTACAAATATAGTTAGAAACTGTTCCTCTATAAACAAAGAGGTGAATATAATAGCCTTGGCAATATACATTGCATAAAATGGGTTAATACACGTACACGGCTATTGCTTACCCTTTCGGTTTTAAATTTTTCCCCGCATCGCGCGCGAGCTGTTCTGCCGCCCATCCCTATACTGGGTCCCCTTTCAGACACGTCAAGTCTTGTTTTCAAGTCTGCGAGTTCGTTGGCGAAGGAGTTGAGAAGAGAGGGGAAGAGTACAGATAGCTCCGTACCGCCAATTCGTTCCAAGTTTTCTTATTCTCTTTTGATCTTTTCGTTGCTGCCCATCTAAAAAACCAACGACTTGAATTCAATAAAACTTGACGCGTGCGAAAGCAAAGAGAAAACACAAAAGAGTATGCGATGAAAATTGCTTTCAAGACTTGCCGTGTCTGAAAGGGGACTAGCCGATGCCAACGCCGATGCCGATAAATCGGTCGGACTGTAGAGAGCACTCCATTGCAAAGTGGTAGCATGTATAGGTAGCAAGCAGCGAAATTCTGTACCAATACAATGATAAGTCCCCTTTCAGACACGTCAAGTCTTGAAAGCAATTTTTTTCGCATTCTATTTTATGTATTCAATTTGCTTCCACACGCGTCAACTTGAATTGAATTCAAGTCCTTGGTTCTTTAAATGGGAAGCAACGAAAAGATCGAAAGAGACAAGAAAACTTGAAACGAATTGACGGTACGGAGCATGAACCAAAAAGACAAGATCACGCGGGCAGGAGAGTAGCCCGTTAGAATCGCATTTAAGAAAAAAGTTTTAGGATATTGCTGGCGATGTACATAATTGCACTACTTCAGGGTATTTTTTAGATAATTGAATACCTTACAAGAATATGCTCGGAATAAAATTTTGTCTCCAACGGTTCAATACTTATAACCAGGGAACGAATTTTTACGACCTAAAAACGGTGGAGTGCAATAAGGCCCGTGGAAATAACGCCCATGGGCTTTATTTCCCAAAAAAGAGAGATAAAGCCCATATGTGTTATTTCCTTTTTGAAGGGGAAATAGCGCCAACCAATAGAAGGCAATAAAGCCCTATAAAAAAAAGCAAAATAAAATAACGGAATAGGCTGGAAGAGGTAAAATAAAATAGCGAAATAGGCAGAAAAAGGTACTAGAAATAGCAAAAAAGACAAAAGAAGTCACTAAAAAGAGACAAAAACTGAAAAATTACACAATATCCAATTCCTATTTAGAATTGCTCGCTGATTCCGAAAATCGAGTTAATTTTTTATTCTATGGATAAGTTTTCGGGATATTTTCAGGTGTACATGGCGTATTAGTAACATTCTTTCCTGCTAATTTTTCATAAGGGTATTCAGACTATACTCGTTAATGTATTACTTCGTTATCTGGTAACTCGGTAAAGACTTTCAACTTCGAACGCCCTTTATTCTTTTTCTAGTTAAAATTACTTTTATTTAAGTAATACTTGTAAAATTTATGAATTCCACGATAGAAAGGGTTGTTGAACTTTTGATAAAATGTATGCACTTTTCGCACAAGGAATTTCCAACAAATTTGTGACAGAGAGGAATCAGCTGGCATTTTATCGCATGTGTTACCACATTATCAGACTTGCGACCTCGTTAAGTTGGTAATGATATATTCGGTAATTTACATAAACAAAACAATAGTGGGAGTTGACGAATACCGAATTAAGACCTTAACGAGTATAGTCTGAATACCCTTATACAAAAAATCGTTGCGCTCTTTCATATGACCACTTATTACTTCTTTATTTATCCATCGATTTTCTTCATTATCAACTTAATTTTTTGTAACAGAACAGGCTTTTACACAGCCTTGGATATACTAAACGTGTGCTCGACGTGATTTGATACAAATGGCGCCCAATTTAAATATGGAACGTCTGAAACTTTTACTCGCTTAAACATTTTTTAAAGGTACAATAGGCAAAAAAAGGCAACATCAAATGTGTATACATACATATATGGAAGCAAGGAAAGCTAAATCGTCTACCTTCTTAATCGAATATACTCTGTCTCTTTAGCAGAAAAAAGGCAATTTCCATAAAATCCGTTCCCTGGTTATAAAATTTCTAATAACAATAAATATTTTTACTTGTTATTTACATGAAAAATTTCAAATGCCCACCAATACTTCAAAAATTTAAATAAAAATTTTTCCTAATGGGAGAATTTTCTTCTCAGTAAGTAGCAAGGTACATTGAACAGGTAGTATCAGTAGAGCAGCTGATTTGATTTATTTTCAAATTATTTGGTCTCGAAAATGTCAAATATTTTTAATTTTTTCTCACGAAAATTATAAGTTGTTAAAATCCATTTGCTTGTGAAACCTTTTTCCATACAAAACAAGCGATTGAATAGCAGTTTTTGGAACGTTCGCCCAACTCGGCAGCACGACCGCTGATTACTGGGCCTTGCAAAGGATGGATCAATGCTTCGAGAAGCAAACAAATTTACTAGGAAAGAAAGTTGCATCAATTTTTATTTTTTCCAATTTCAATTTTTTATTTTTTATAATTTTTTGTATTTCACATGGCACGCTTTGATTTAGAAGAAAAAATTCAGAACAGTTGTTGACACTTTCGATACCAGAAGCAACAACAAAATACACGCAAATGTTGTTTTTGCTCTACTGATACTACCTGTTTAATGTGCCTTGGTAAGTAGCTTTAATTTGTGTGGTTTCTGTTATATTTTAAATGAAAATTATTATAAATAAATAAATAAACATAAGTTACAAACAATATCATTTTGAATTTTGGTGTTAAATCATTAACCATAGCTGTATATGCAACTCATACTTTCAATCTGGCCGGTGATGGGTTAAGGAGATCAAACAAATAGTTTTTTTGGTACAAGCAGTGTCTAATTTTTTATGTCTATATATACAAAATTCCGACATGAAAGACAGCTTCTCATAAAAATACAATCGCCGTTCAGAGTCGGCGTAAAACTGTAGGACCCTCTTTTTTGTGTGACAACATAAAGGCGCATCACTTCAAAGTATCATTTCGTAGGTAAATATTTAAACTTAAAATTAAATTATCTTCGGATTATATCGGTATCGTAGTTGAGTCACTGTCTGTTTGTATTGTCATGGTACTTTCTTGGATGCCTCTCGCCATAACCTCCTGCAGTGTTTTAGTAAACTTAAACATACTCCGCGCATCATGATGTAAGCGACAGACCACGCCAGCTGAAGATATTTGCCAATTCCAGCACACTAAGTCACAATCTAGGGCTTCCAAGTCTTTTTTCAACGCTATAATATTCTGTGAAATGAAAGAAAGTTATGCTTTAGCTATGCCTAATGGATACAAAATTTAATAAGCAATATGCGACTAGATTGTTTACCAACGCCACTGTTGTGTCAATTGTAAAGATTTCCTCTCCCCTTATCACTACCATTTTGATGTCTTCTCCATGCATGGTTTTGTATTTAATCACCTTTGATTTCAGATATTCCGCTGAAGAGTAGGTTAAATTTTCTTGCACATCCACAACGGCTACTTCAGTGTCTTTTTGCAACTAAGTAAACAAAGAAATTTTTTTATGCTAACTTTTAGTTGGCTGGTTAAGTTAGACATATTTGAACCTTCTCTTTTTTAATGACTATTTTGGGCCTAGAACTTTTGTACAATATGAATAACATATTTACAACGATGCCGCAGACCATACCGTATTCCAGAGTCCAAAATATACAAACAATCACTGTAACCAGGAAAGGGATCATATCCACCTCTGTAATGCAGAAATATATACATATGTATGTATCCGATATGTTTTTTTTTTAAGAATTTAATACTTTTTGCGCGCCAAATTTCGACGATTCTTTCATATTCCACCATAAATATCATGGCGGCTATTATAATTGCAGCCAAAGTTGCCTTTGGTATATAATAGAAAGTTTCCGTGAGGAACGCCAAGGTCATCAAAACCAATATGCCGGTGAAAGCACCGCCCAACGTAGTCTTAACGCCGCTGGCATTATTGATTGCAGTACGCGTAAATGAGCCTGTAATGGGCATGGATGAAACAAAACTACCCATTATATTGGCGATACCTAATGCAATCATTTCTTGTGAGGCATCTACAATTTTTCCCATTGCTGCAAGGCAAGATTGAATTAATATTTGAAAAAAAGAGTGAATTGTTTTGTTTACATTTATGCATACATATGTATACATATGTATGAAGTTATGTTTGTACTCACAAAATGCCTTTGCCACAGCAATACTCTCCAGCACCGAAATTAGAGGTATGGCTGCCAGTGAGGCGCCCAATTCCTGTATCATCCCAGCAAAACTGACATCTGTGCCATTCACTTGGGTGTGGAAAGGTGGCAGCTGAAATGTTGGAATGCCTGGTACAATTTCACCACTTACCCGAAACGCCAACCAGTTTTCATGACTGAGTGTATAACATAAAGTGATGCCGACAACGACTGCCAGTGCATTCCGAGACAATGATATGTACTTGGTGATTGTTTTATAGGAACAGGGGATATCTTTCAACTTCTGCGAATGAAATTTTATAATATACATAAATAAAAGCATCCTGTTTATTTTTAACCTAATAACGTACTCGCATAATTATTAGTAAAATTAATGTTGTTAAGCCTAGGATAGCATCATTTCGTCGAGTATTTTTTAAATGAGTAAAAAAATTTACCCAGGATTCTATGAAATCATTGGAGGGACCTGTAGTTAGATAATTAATTAGTACTTATATGTATATATATGCATAAATATGTGTGTATGTGTGTATTTACGTACTAGAGCAGTGCACGATTACATGACCCAATGTACGATTGTGTTAAAACTTACTACGTATGTATATGTACATACCGTCGCCTCAGAAAACGAATGTCGAATGTGCAAAACCATATTTGCAATAATGACACTATTCAAAATTTAAATAATACTGAGCTTCACAACTTGCCTGGTTATCAGGTTATCTGGTTATGTGGTTATATTTTTATTCAGTTTACAACAATAAAATACACTACAGAATAATAAATTTTAACCAGATAAACTGATAACCAAGCAAGTGTGAACATCCTAACTGTTGACTGGCTCATGTGTCTTAAGTAGTAAAAGTTTTTATTTTTTAAACTTTTAATTGTGTTGTTATTGGAAATAATGATTTTGCACATTCGACATTCGTTTTCTGAAGCGACGATACATAGTAAATTCATGGTATGTACTAGACTATGCATGAGGACGAAGGTAGCCTATACACAAAAACATTGAATATGAGGCTCTACTTTCTCGTGTGAATACCCAAAAAGAAATGTTCAGAAATAAACATGCAAGGTGTGACTATGAGCGCAAATCGCTTTCAAAAATGTATTTCGACTTGCTCGTGCTGCACCAGAAATTTTTATTTTTGTTAAAAATTCTGGCAAACTATTCGATTGTTGTCGTGTAAAAGTAATCGCGAATTTGAGAGAAATAATAAAAAATAATATCTAAAAATCCTTTTATTTCATAAAAAAGACAAAACGTCTGGAACGATTAACTAATTTGTCAGAAACTATCAGACCTATCGAAAAGTGATGTATATACGGTCTATGTAGAATTTTGTTAGCTTTCATTTGTCGCATTTAATATTAAGAAATATGATTGAAAATATCTTGAAAACTTATCCATAGAATAAAAAATTAAGTCGATTTTCGGAATCAGCGAGGAATTCTTTATAGGAATTTGATAGTGGCATCCACTGAACATTTTTGCTGTAAACTAGTGTAATCGGTTGCTAATACCCACATGTTCAGGGGATTTCATTTTAAGGAGCCTGTTAATAGCCTCGGTGAAAAAATGACATTCGTTTCGCTAATATCTCAATCGCGATGCCAAGTACGGATTCTCTAAATTACAATCCCATAATTTTTTCATGCAAACTAGCCTATATTAAGTCCAAACATTTTTTTCATACTTAAATCATCTTTTTGAGCATGCTTATAATGTTAAATATTTTCTTATTTCTTTCACATCAAAGTGTCTGGTAACTCAACTGAAAGTGAAATTTTCCGCAACCTTCGTGTGAACAACCAAAAATTATTAATAATGTGAAAAAAACTTACTTGTCAATCCGAACAGATTATTAATTTGTGCACTGGCAATTGTTATTGCTGCCGCTGTGCTAAATCCTGTCGTCACAGGTATTGATATAAATTGCACGAGTGCTCCCAAATTTAGTATACCCATCAGAAGTACGACAATACCAGATAGAAAGCAGAGTAATATTGCATAGTCAGCGCTGCCTGCTACTTGCGTTTGAACCATGAGAGATATAATGGCGGTGGGGCCTAATTAAGAAAGATTTATTTTACAATGTTAATAAATTGCTATATATACTTTTTTTTTTGTTGAATAATGCTTAAAAAATGCGAGTTTGGGGTTATGAAAGACCATTGAAAAGATGTATCCATACATACCTAGTATACAATTTCAGGAGCTAAAAACCTTCCAAAAGGCATTCTTGAGAGTCAAGCACCTTTCTCAGCCCTCTTGGGCAGGCCTTTTAGAATGGCTTCACATCAGAAGGTTTACCTAAATTATCTTCTGAGACTGTACGTACATATATGGGCAAATCTAAAAAACAGGTAGCCTTGTTGTTATTTAGCTTTATTTTCACTGTTGGAAACTATATCAAGCTGGAGAACGAAAAATGACACTGAAGATGGCACAATGCCGAAACCGGTTTGTCTGCAAACCAAACTTGACAAGGGATGACGGAAATTCGTTCCAAAATAAATCATAATTCATTGATGTATACTTAAAGCCTCAAACAAAATTTGGATCAATTTGCTGCATAACTTTTGAATTATGCATAGGTTTTTAATAAAAAAAGAAATAATGAAAACAAGTGAATTTTTTATGTAATTTTTAAGAGGGGCAAAATGAATTATGCCATAACTTTTGAAGCACACCATATTCTCATTTAAAATTTAATGGGCATTTAGCACTTATGTGTATACTTCATATGTAGTAGGTAAGAAAGGTGTGCATTAAAAATTAACGAAATGGCAAGTAACTCAAAGTCTGTAACTCCACATTTCACAATTTTCAAAATTTTCGGTTTATCGCGTATAGTTTTTGAAGCATTTAATTTTAAGAACTTTTAAGGTATGTATTGTATTCTACAAACAATTATGAATAATTTGATACCTTAGCAAGATAAACTAACTTTTAAAGATAAAATATTCTGCGATCTTGAGCGTAATTTAATATTTCCTTCACAATGTCATAAAATCATCGAAATCGGTTCACTATAAAATCTAGCTCCCATACAACTGATTGTCCAGAGACGTTGTTTTGCGTTATAACTCCTCCAATTAAACCGGTAAAAATTTAGTATAGGTTCACTTTAACATATAGCACGCAGAGAATTTATTATTCAGATATGAAGTTAGAGTTATAGCGTAAAAACACATATCTGAGTAATCAGTTGTATTGGATCTATACCTTAAAGTGCACCCATTTCGATAATTTAAAGGAATAATTAAGGTAATATTAAAAAAACCGTTATGTGCAAAATTTTAGTAAAATAACTTCATAACTGAGGGAGTTATTTATAAAAAAAAATAAAATTTAATAAAATTTTCAAATACCGTTATCTCGAAAACCGGAGCCAATCTGGTAAAACGGGGGATGCCATTGAATTTAGAACGTTCCAATTAAGTGAGCTCAACTTTCAAAATCTTTGCTCAAAATTTACAACTTGAACAACGTAATTTGAACCCAGTTTATTCTTTTGTTTTCTATTTCATGTTTATTCCTCGTCTAACTTTTGAAGCACTTGATGAAAATGAATTACACTTATATTAATCGATTTATTAAGAGAATACGAATAAAATGATATATAAAACATAGGTGTGCTCAAAAATTTAAAAATAAATTTTTTTTTGGAGAGTACCTATTTTTTTAGATTTGCCCATATACAAGTATCATGGGTTTGATGTACATAAAGATGCCTTGTGTTATCAATATACATACATATCGCACCCGCACCCTAAATCAAAAACAGTCACAACTCAAAAACCCCAAAGGTTCAGGAAATATGTTTTTCTTCTACTCATACTTACCAACTGTAACATCCTTGCAAGTGCCAAAGATTATGTAAATGAAACAGCCCATAAATGCCGAGTACAAGCCATACTGTGGACTTAAACCCGCTATTGTACCATAGACGATCGCTTGTGGAATGGCGGTTAGTCCCACCGTTAGACCCGCAACTAAATCTTGTATGAGAAATTTCCATTTATATTTTGGCAACCAGTTTATGATGGGGAAACGTTTCCTTGCCGTTGTGAGGGTGCAACAATTCTTTGCCGATCTCTTTAAGGCATTACAAATATTCGGTAATTTTTCATGGTAAATGTCATCTTCATCTGTAGGGTATGAAAAAATACATGAACAATCGCACGTTTAATAATATAGAGAAGTACATAATTCAAAATTTACGTTTTCTGAGATTTCATCATACAATTAATAAGAGAATATCTTCAGCCTAACAGAAGACTAAACGTCCCAAAAATGGCGAAGATATGGTCTTTCCATCTGTCGTTTTGATTGCGTTTTCCAACAAAATTGAAATTTTATAATAACTGTATATTACACATGCCAACAAAAATGGGAAAGGATTTTGGTACGGCAAATGCTAAAGTTTTTTGTTTTTATAGACTTTTGTGCTAATTACGAATCCGTAAGTTTCTAACAGCTCCAGAATTTATAAAAAACGAGATCATAGTGTAAAAAAATTGTGTTTTTTGCAGTATTTTAGACGCTCTAGCAAATAAGAAGAGGTGATACCTTTCAGCTAAATAAGAAGAGGCTCTAGCAAATAAGAAGAGGTGATACGTTTCGACTAGAATCCAAGAAAATACCATTCCTGCACCTTGACTTGATGGTCACTGATAGTCATTTGTTGAACAGCAAAAACTGATTTTGGCGAAGTTTGAGTACCTACCGTGATATAACCACTTAGGCTTATATTAAGGTTTGAACTTTCGACTACAATCCATAAAAATACCATCCCTGCACCTTGACCAGGTCAGGTCAAGGAGCAGAGAGGGCATTATCAGAACAGAACTTTACACTTATGGATTCGTGATCAGCACAAAAAAGTCTATCAAAAACAGCGTTAATATTTGCTGCACCACACGTGCGGTATGCACATATGTATATATGCAGGTATCAAAAATATACTACAATAGTTTCATTATCACTTCCTTCGCCAATAAGGTAGCGGTGTATTCACCAAATATTTATTGATATTTTAATACTATAAGTACATGCTATTATCTTTGAAAGTAATTTTTTTATGTGGTGAAAATTTGATTTACTATGTTGTATCAAATATGTAGGTTTTAAATCATTGTAAATCAAACGTAAACCAAATGCGAATTTCACTAGTAATGGCATTAAAGTATGTCACATGAACGATTGTGTAGGAAAATATTTACAATTACATAGTTTATACGTTTTTGTGTGCTGTGTATTTTGTCCAGCGTGCACCCCTTTTATCGTGTAATCTTTTTTACGAACTCATTTCATTTAATATACACACATTCATTGCATGTACACAATTAAGTTGTGTAATTGCTTAGTAATTTGAAACACAAAATTAAAAAGTACAATTAAAACGGCTAATTAAATTCCCGATCTAAATGAAAAATATTTCTCACAGAATCTTTAAATAAAAAAATTATAGTTTGAAAAACTAAAACCTCGCTATTATAATTTCCATTCGTACTGTCATCAGGTATGTAACTTGACAATAGAAATCGCTGCATCTTTTAGGCGCATCAATATTACATAGTTACATCCCGAGCTAATAAAAGGGAGGTAAAATATGTTGATACATGAATATCACCAAGTTTTTATTTAATGCCGAAAAAATTTAAACACAATTTTTTAACCACAAAAAACGCAAGTGGTAAATTATTTTTTAATAAAAACCTTTGCGGCCTATGCAACCGAGTGGTTAGGGGTGCATACTACCACTCAGTAGGACCTGGGTTCGATCCCCGGCCCGAGCGACATCTAATAATAATAATAGGGTGACCGCTGTTAAGAAAGAACCTTTTTTCTATATATTTTTTTTTGCGATGTTGCTTTGACCATGGCTAGAACCCAGGCCCTGCGGAGTAGTAGCACACACTGCTACCCACTAGACCACAGCGGCCGACAACATCTAAAACGTGAAATTTTTCCCGAACATCGGATGGGGGTTAACTTAATTTAATTTCCTATAAATAAATAAAAATCTTATTATTTGCATAAACTTGACACTTTTTGTACTTAATATAAAAATTCTGAATGGGTAAAATTTCAATCACAATGCGCGTTAAAAACATTGCGTATTTTTTCAAAATTCCGACTTTTACAGACATGTAATATACGGATAAAATCGGCCCTATGCTGAATATCGTCATCGTCATCGTCGACGATCGTCAGCGCATCAGTTACATGGCTGACGATGGCCGTATCGTCACTTTTACTGAAGATGACGATATTCAACATAGGGCGGAATATCAGCCATTGGTATATATATTCTCCGCTTTATTCGATGTACTTTTGCCATTTTCAATGAGCGTCATATTTACCCTTTTTTGTCGTAATGTAACATCAATTCTCTGCCGTTTTTAAGCTGCGGAAGTTTCTGGATGAAAAATTCATCCAAACTATGCGATTGCTGGATTGATCGTTCGATTCTTTGGTAGTTGAAAAGAACCACATCCTTCCAGTTCCACCACACTTAGCACATTTTCTCGTCGGGACCAATACCGTTTGCATTTTTCTAAAGAAGCGTCGCATTTCTTGAAACAGTTTGGCACCAGCGTCCTTTTAGACCATCTTCACCCTAAACTTTAAATAATTTTTCAAAAGCCGCGCGGAGTGGCCGCTACGGAAGTAAAACAATAAAATATTGCGAAATGCAAAGGTAGTCTTTAAAATCTCCGAATCTCAAACAAATCACTGGGGAGATTGTGTAACCAGTTAGCGACAATTTTCGGAACGCTATTGCACTTTTTAACGCATGTTAGGTATGTTGTTGCGTCAACAAGTAAGATAGCGATCCGAAAATTGTCGCTAACTGGGTACGGAATCTCCCGCCAGGTACTTTTTTTGAAAATGAATTTTCAGCAAAGTACCGCTGGTTGTTAAAAAAAAAAATAGTTTAATATCATTTATTATTTACTAATTTAATTAAATTCTATGAGGTCGCCTTAACATTTGCTCCCCTGACGTTATACGATATTTATTACAGATTCGCCAATTATAATCCAGATTCGTGTCTCTCAACTTTGAGCTCGCTGCATTTGTCGTTCTTAAATTATGAATTGGAAGCTGCTAATATTTTTAGCTCAGTATTATTATTCCATAAGGTAAAGTCGTCTGTAGGACTCTTAAAGCATAAACAGACGGCAGCGTTGATCCGGATCAACTCGGGAATTAACTGCAGTTGATCCGGATTAAGTCCGAGTTAGTGCGGATCAACGCTGCCGTCTGTTTAAGCTTTTACAGATTTGAACCGAACTTCTCACAACAACTTTCGGGCTATACTTTATGTAACAGCCTACTAAACCTTGCTGAACCAAAGACAATATCCGATGCATATCGGTGTTTTATATCTAAACCATTGATCGGCCCTATTCGATGATTATTTACTTAAGCACAACGTCAAACATGTTTCAAAAACACTACTCAACGTAACTCGTTCTTGCAATGAGGCTGTCATCGAAGTACCTACGTGGTGTATACATATGTACGCTTAGATAGTTTCTATGTGCCGTTCAATTATCATCTTAGTAATCAGTTAAGTCAGTCAGTTTCATTGTCAATAACGCAATGCGAAATTGGCCGCATTTTAGACGGTGAAACCCCCGATCACAACACATTAGATTACTATTTTTTTAATTTATTTTATTAACTCCCACTTTTTGTGTTCGCACCTTTGAGCTGTACCATTACTTGTGAATTCCAGCTTCTTGTTCCCACAACACTGTAGCTTAATATGTTTTTGTATTAATTACTTTTCAATAATTTAAATATAATTTCGGTAAAACTTTCTTGTGTCCGCTGCTGGCGCTTCACCTGTTGCTGCTGTGGTCGGTGTCTGATTAGAAATGAAAAGTTTCCGTGCTTGGGCGGTTGGTTTTTTAAACTCTGGGACACTTGAAACTTGCAGCGTGAATATAGCGATATATGTAACATAGTGAAATATATGTATGTCGTGTCTCATCGTAATTGTTGGGAGTCCGTTTGTATGCTCGCGGTTGCCACTTTGGTAAAATGTTACCAAAATTGGTAACTTTTATTCTCTATGGTAATTTGGTAACTTCTGATCTCATTTGGTAACAGTCAGACAAAATGCTTAAACACATTAAAATACTTTTGAATATCATACAATATCTGCGGCAGAGTTACATACACACAGCTAATTTCTTATTGAGTGAATTGGTTTTTGATTATAGATTTATGATTGGCGATATGCACATATCTACATGCACATCTGCCATGGGGAGCTAGGGTCGTAGTGTACGCTGCGGTCTTTCAAATTTAGAAGATTATTATTTGAGTTTTTCCAACAAAAATTGTCTGAACGACATGCAGTGACATATAAGAAGAGATTTTATTATTAACCTGTGGAATAATGAAGCTATCCTTTCCTCAAATGAGATTTATTTTCGTAGTACATTGTAGTTTATTTAAAATGTTACAAGTTATTTTATTGTTTTAAAGTTCAT